AAAACGGTTGAATAGCTAACACTCACAAAAACTTCCACTTGAAAGCTGAAAGACTTAATCCTCATCAATAATCATAATGGTTTTTTCTCCTTTCCTATGGTCCAATCTGGCACCACCCACACATCCACCTGCAGAAGAGCTAGAGTGATGGACACTGCTCCACCTCCCTGCAACAGATATCAAAGCTGATCAAAGGCAGAGCCCCCTGAGTGCTCTCTGACAGTACCACTGAGCCAAGATAGTTAACAATGGACTTTCACCCCCTCCTGTTCCCTGGCATCTGAGCAAAATAGAGCAGAGTCTGCACTGTCTTTTCATGCCGTTCAGGATATCTGCCCAGACATCTGGTTGTTACCCCTTGAAATCAGCCGACTTCCCCTCATGCTTCCTTTGGCTTGTATGTACCTCATGCAAACCTACAAAACAAACTCCTACCTCTGAATCCCCCTGGGCTTTGTGGACAGAGGAAGGGATGGAATTCAAATCCCAAGCTGGAGGAAGATGTCACAGCTGTGTTAAGTATATCCCTGTCTGCGAAGAACACCTCCGCTTTTAGGAGGAACAATGATTGTGTTGTTAAGTCACCAAAGAAGGGTCTTTTCTCCTCTCTGCCAGACTTTCTGCGCAACTTTGGTCATGTCACTCTACCTCCGTTTTTAAATGAACAAATGGAGATGATAACACTTCCTTTATCTATTTAGTCCATAAGCTTTTCTGGGTTCAAGATGTCTCTTTCTATGCAATTGCACAGCTCCCAGCAGTGATGCTGCTAAATGCAACAGCAATATAAGAAGTAGCCCTCAGTCAACCAAGGGTTGCAAAATAGAAATTCATATTTTTAGGGGGATCCCATCTCACTATCGAGCCTTCCCTAGCTGCAATGATGTACAGTTATGCTGGTCTGGCCTGATACTGAATTGCAGTTTACTTCTGCTCTGAAAACTCAAGACATTAGACCACTTGGCTACATTGCCAGTGAGCTGCAGGAAAGGCCAAATTTACAAATGTAAGCATGCAAACTTACATCCAAAGATCTGTGTAAGAACATCGTGGTTGGTACCAGTCTAACTCGAGAGAAACAGCCCCAGAAATCAATGTGGGTTGGTGCAAGGACCACATGGTTTGATACACCACATCTTTTCACTGCCAACTGTTCCAAGTAAGCTAAAGCGAGGCCCCTGTGTCTCCAGGCTGGAGTCTGGATCAACTCGTGCATATCAGTCCCATATATCTACATATGCCTTAACTATTCTTCACAAGGAGGCAGAGCTTAACCATAGATCATCAGGAAGTAGTATGAAATCTTTGGATGAATGAGGCTGAGGGGTTAATACTCCTAGCATTACCTGTATTACAAGTTGTGTGACTGGCCAGCAGAAGTTAGAGAGCATTTACCCTGTGCCATGTGGGAGGCCAGCATTCTGGTCCTGGAGCCCCTGGGTCTACAAGGGATGGTGAGACATCTTCTCAGTTCTTGGAGAAATGGGAAGGGAAGCACTTCGACCTACTATCAATAAACCTATTTTATCTAACAAGCAAATCAGCACTGAGAGCTCCTGTATGAGCTGTGGCTGTCCCCTCAGTGCCTCAGGGCTCTTCAGCTGCTATGCATTAGCACCAATGTCAATGGAGCTGCACTATTGTAATCCAGCTGGGGATCTGGCTTGCAGTCTCCCAGGTAGACCATAAAATGGGAGAATAAGCTCCACTTCCATATACCCAGGGCAAGATGAATAGTCCATTTTCATTTGATGGAGCAAAGCAACAATGTATCTGCAAACAATGGTACCAGACACACCAGCACTGTGTGCCATGTCTTCCAAAAGCAGCAGCTGTAGCGAAAACCTGTTCCAGGGTTAAACAGTGGAGAAGAGCTGGCAGAAGGATGTACATTCTGGTGTGTATAGGTGGGGAAAAGGATAATAGTTTCACTTACAAATAAGACCAATAAAATTGTGTTAGTTTAACACATAAGAGATAGGCAGATCAGGTGTGGAAACATGAAGGGGAAGATGGATGGAAGTGTCACAGAAGGAGGAAGGCAGAGAGTAAAAGCAGAGGGCCAGCACCACAGATGTGCATGAACTGTCTGTGAAGTCAATGCAACTAATCTGACTTGCATGAGATGAGGGCATGGCCCAGAAAAAGGGACTTCAAGACAATGGTGACAGCAAACCCTGGTTCCATCAAATGTCTACTGCCTGGAGATTTGCTAGAAGTCCCTCCACAGCAACCTATGCATCTAGCTAAGGTACTAATAGGATCCCCATCACCACAGGATCTGTCTGCCTCACTGTCTTCTAATGAAGCTCCTTATCCTCTATCCCCAAATGGGGAATGAGGCACAGAAAGGCAATTTCAGAAGGACTGGAGAACTAAAACAACTTTGAGGATTTAGGACTAAGTGTGCCTTGGGTCACACAGGAAATCTGCTGTGGAGCAAGAAAACAACCCAGACTTCTGAAGTCTCAGGCCAGTGCCTTAATCTCTAGATCCTTCTGATCCTCCAGGAGGAGTCAGTTTTTCACACGCTTTGTTTGCACTGACTGTGGTTGATCCCCCTACAACAGGGACTCTCCACCAATTTTAAAACCTAGAATAAGTTTCTATTTTCACCTATTGCTTAGACAATGCATGAAAATGCTCCCAAACCAGACATTTCTCATTTGAACATCTTTGTGGATTGGAAAGCTGGTGATACTGCTCTTTTGACAATGACATTCTACTATTTTTCTCCAGTAATAAATGCCCTCCACAAACTTTAGTATCTTTAAGGTGATGGGATTAGAAGGAGATCCAAGAACTGGAGAAATGCTGGCTTTCTCTGTAATGGCTTTAAGGGAAGCGAGAGACTCCACACAATGTAGTGTATTGCAAAGGGTTGGATCATATTTCCCTTACTCCCATTGGTAACCAGTTACTTGCATGAGTCATTGAGACTATTTCAGTTAGCAGCTGCTTACCAGTGCAAGCAAGGGACTTGCAATTGTAGCCCAAATCTGTAATGCTAAAAGAAAAAAAAAAACACTCGCTTCATTACAGTGCTCTGCACAAATGGTCCCCCAAGAGCTGGTCATAATCCATATAATGAGATATACCAACTGGCTACTTCCAGTCCCAGCTGTGACCGTGAATCTCTGTTCTCTTCTGTCTTTGTGAGAGACCAGTATTTTCTCTTTACTGTACATATGGAGAAACTGAGGCAGTGAGCTCATATGTTATTACTCATCTAAGAACAAAGTTGCAGTAAGAATTAATTAGCTAACATCATTAAAAGGCACTGCGAAGATTCAAAGGACACAAATGTATCAAGTGCTATTGCTGGCATAAAAGAATTTAAAGGATCTGAATTAAAGCCATCAATGGGCATCTTTCTATTAACTTCACCAGGCTTTGGATCACTTGCATTAGTTGTGGAAAATGGGATGTGGTGGTACGATAGGTATTTTCACTTCCATTTCTCTGCTTGCTGATAGCGGTATCTAATAGAGGTTATATTTGAAAAAGGTATTTGTTTTGCAAATATTGATCCGTCCATTTCTAGGCACTGTCCAGTTATGTCACGACGACTCAGGCTTCAGAATTAAAACACATTAACTTTGCAATTGCATAACCTTCCCTGTCCTCATTTGGGCTGTAACAAGGCTGTTTGGCCAGGACAGTTATACTGATTCAGCGTTACTACTGAGTTGTGCCTTTAGTTACTTTAAACACCCAATCTACCCCTCATGAAATCCGCAGGAAAACAAACCAGCTGTTGGACCCTGCCCTTCACAGAAGCCAAGAAATACTCCATTAATATGTGGTACATGCAGAACAGGACTGATCTCCCCAAACACACTTGCTACAGAGTGTATACTTACACCAGGTCTTATTAAAATCTGTGACTGGAACACCACAGAATTTAAACTGACAAAAGACAAAGATTCGGTTGTATGATCAATTCAAGACTGTTCCCTGAAATCTGATCCTTTGGTTGAACTGTGTTGATTCTCTCAGTTAAAGAGACTTCACCACAGTCTTTGGGAGGCTATTCTCAAGACCAGGAACATTATCCTTATATTCAGCCTAATTTCTAGCTCTCAGTCTAGTTGCTCTTAGACTTATTCCCTTGTATGTGCCTAAACAATTCCTTTCCCCTCTACGCCATTCAAATACTTCTTAGTTAACTTCTTTGCCCTTTTCATCACATAAAGGAGCAAAATAAGTAACTGTTCTACCCCATATTTAACTTAGGTTGTACCTGCTTCTTTCTAAGACCTGAGGAAAGGCATTTTGTGTGCAAAAAACCCCAAATCTAACATTTTTACCAGCTAAAGAGTCCAATAAAAGGTATCACCAAACAATTCCTGCTTCTTACTTACTCTCTGGACCATCACAGATAAAAGAACACTACAACACTACTTTTCTCCTCTGTCGTCGTTAACAAAACCGTACATATTTAGTTCTTTTCCTCATTTCTCTCTCCTTAAAGTTCTATATTTTGGTTGCCCCTTTTTAAATTTCTTGCTGTCTACACATATATAAATATGGGAAATGTCATTAATTACTACTTCTAGAATAGATATATTAGGGTGGAAATATTGTCTTATCACTATAATGGAGGTCTTGGAATCAGGATTTCTGGTTCTATCCCACAGATTCACAGTGGGAGCATGTCCCTTAGACTTTCCTTGCCTCCGTTTCCCCATCTGTAAAATGGGCACAATGACTACCTCACTGGTAGCAGATTAGCTTCAAACGTAGAGCAAGGGGCATGGAATCAAGACTTCTGGTTTCTCTCCCTGGTTCTGCTGACTTTGGAAAGGACAATTTAGATGCATGCTCAGTGGGACTACATGCAGTTTTCCAGGCTGTGAGTGCTCTAGATCACTCACCTCTCTATGAACCAACCCCATCTCCACTGCTCTTCAAGGGGATTTGCAGGCACATTCTAACCAGACAGAGAGTCTTACCTCGGATTCCTCTGAAGACATACAAGCAGCATCTGGGGATAGAGCTCTTCTTTACCTCCTCAGACTTATTTCTTTCCTCTGGGTAGGAAAGGGAGTCGCCCACCTTATCAATATTCTCATAGGGGTTCTCCAGGATGGCCTTGGGGTTGTAGATGGCTCGGATCTTCAGGGAGCTAGAGGGGGACCCATTGTAAACCGGATTGTCCCAGGCTTTCTTCCCCACGGCTTCAAGCTCATGCTCCTCTTGGGCTTGGAAGTGGCTCTCAGCTCTGTTGTTTAACCGGGAACAGCTCATGACTATTCACTGAGGAACGATGTGCTTTAATTCAATTCCCGGTGCAAACTGCCCAGAGACTACAGTTTTAGACTAGGAGCCTGTCAGAGCTCAGCAACCCCTCTGCCGGAGGAGCCCAGGAGAGGTTGAGCACTAGGCTCATGCAGACTCTCGCTCTCTTTTTTATACTAGCTCATCTATGGACACGCAGCAGAGGGTGGCACAGTCCATTGTTGAGAAAGAACGTAAATTCTATTCTTCTGGGAATGAAGCTACATCCAAGGGATGGTCTCTCCCTCCTAGTACAGATAACAGCTCTGAATGCCACAATGGGGAGAGGAGGCTGCTAGGAGACTGCCTCTCACTGCCTGAATTGAAAAGAGGGTGGGGGTTGGGATTTAATTGAACACCTAAAGCTTCAGGCAGCTGAGATCAGCACCTGGTGCATCTCCATGTGATAAGGGCTGGGCTTCCAAGCAGAGGTGAGGGTTTAGACCTTGCACATGGAAGACAGGGTAGAATAGAGGAAGCACAGGAGAAACAGGCCTACTTTGTAGAGCCAGGTGGAAAATGCTGTGTTTGGAGGTCCAGGAAGCTTTGAACATTCAAATTGCTGTGACTGAGGCAAGGAGGAGAGGTCTAACATAGGTACATAGATAGAGTACAAAGCCTCCTGGAACTGAACTGAGAGGGACCAGCTGGTGCAGCCACAGAGTCTCATTAGTTTTAGTTATTGTCTATGTAGATAGGTAGACCTTGGAGAAATGCTCACTGGGCGCATCTACATGAGACACTTTACTAAGAAGTAGCATAGTTTACTGTGCAGTAAGCATGTGCATGTGTAAAGCTCACTAATCATGAGTAAATTTGTTATCTGCAAATGCAAGTAGGAAATTCTCCCTGGATTAGTAACAATGCAGTAGCGCTCATGTAGATGCCTGTCTGGGAGCAAATCTGCTCCAGGTAAACTGGCCACTGGGGGGACATGAGATTTCTCCCTGCCCCTGGGAGCTGCCTGATGCTGGGGTGGCCTCGATCACTGGAGCCTGGGTAAGGACTATGTTCTCCTGCCCTACCAGCAGGCAGCTCCAAGCCCCCCTACTCCAAGATTGCAATCGGAGAGCAGGGCACTGAGAGATCCTTATCTCCCAGCACCAGCTCCACAGTCACAGGGCCAGAGCTGGGAGATCCTCATCCTCCAGTTACAGGGCCAGAGCTGGGAGATTCCCTGCCCAGCTCCATGCTCAAGGAGCTCTTTTTAAGTCCCCTGCCCCTGATTGGGAAGCTGGGGTCAGGAGCTCCCTGCTGCAGGGTGCAGTGTCCTGGAATGGTGTTCCCTGCCAACCCCTGGGCTAGCACCTGGGGGGAGCCTAGAGCTCCCATGGTGGCAGCAGGGGCCCATTGCAGGGCCCCAGAAAAATGGAGGAGTTTGCTGCCATTGGCAGCAAATCTGCTCCCATATCCCTGCATGTGTAGATCCTTGCTCCGGAGCATTTAATGACAAGTAGTTTACTTGCAAATAAACTGATCCTGGACAAATGCATGCATAGACATGCCCACTGGGTTCTCCCAGCCCCCACTCCCTGATTGCAATCTCAGAGTGTGTGGCTTGGAGCTGCCAGGTCAGGGGGACATAGTCCTTGCCTGGGCTCCAGTGGCAGAGCCCACCCCAGCAGCAGGCAGCTCCTGGGGGCAGGGAGCAATCTCCCGCCCCCAGGGAGCAGATTTGCTCCTAGTCAGGCATCTACACAAGCGCTACTGTGTTGTTACTAATTATGAGAACATTTGTTACTTGAATTTGCAGGGCATGGAACAATGTCAAGTGGCTATAAATTATAAGGAATAATAATAACGAAGAATATGCTCCACTGTTGAAAACATCCTTTTCAGGCCCCTGTCAGGCAGAAAGGTGAAAAGGGTTTCCCTATTGTGCTAAGTCCATGCAATTCTAATAGGCTGGCTCAGGCCTTTCAGAATCCTGTCAGCCATATGTCCTTGTGTCTATTTGTCGTCGCAGGACATGGTTCTTCATCTTCTCTTAGCTCAAAGGGCTACAGACCAGTTTTTGAACCATATATACAGCAGTCCCTTCTGGGGTACAGGTTGTAGGTGTGCTGGTCTAAGGACATAGGCAGGAAGGTTCTTTGGGTAAATCTGACACCTTTTATTAGACCAACTCAAATAGTTGGAAAAATTCTTCTTTGCAAACTTTCAGGTATAAATATCCTTTGTCAGGCTGAGGAAGCATCTGCAATTGGTCTGTGCTCTTGCTGGATGGAATGAATAGTAAAGAAGCCAGAGGCTGGTGTGCAAGCCCTTCCAGTAATTTGTAGCAGTCAAAAAGCTGTAGTTTCTTCATGTGTAATAGACATCTCTTTTGGAATGAGTAGGGTTGCATCTTCAAGCAGAAAGCGGTGCCAGACCACCCTGTCAATAAGAATGTGACACTGACCTGGGAAATTCCCCTGGAACATGTGGAAGTCTGGGGCACTTTGGCCTCTGAACGAGGTAGATGGAACCGTGAGTAGTGGATGGATGGTTTCCTGATTGGCTGTGGGTGACTGCAATGAATGGGTAATTGACCATCAGCTTCGGGACCAGAAGTAATGTTTTCTTCTGTGATTGACTGACAGACAGAATAAAGGATCTGCTATCGCCACCACTTACAGGAGGTTTTCTTCAGCTCCAGCTGCAGTAGCCTGTAGTGCTCCCCAAACTTTGGTCTGAGTCAGGTGTGAGCAGAGGCCATAAATGAGAGCCAAGGGCACTGCTTCATCAAAACATACTTTAATGAGAAATAACACAAAGCAGTAACATGCAATGGGTTAGTTACTTTTCCTAGTGGAGTTCAGTTCCCTCAGGGTAGTGATCAAGCACCCAGTCTCCCCAGAACAACCCTTAGTCCAGTCTGTCCAAGGTGTAGTTTAGTGTTTCCTGTGAAACCTTACAATTTAAACTTTACAGTTTACTGAATATTCATAATCCAAAGAACATATGTAACACAAGTAACATTTTCTTAAGATATTATCTTAAGATATTAATGGCTTATACACACTTGCATATTAGAGTCTCACATTCATCCATGCCCACATGTGTGTTGTTACTAGAGCTGTGTGAGGCTTCGGGTGGTGATTCAATCTGGATGAGATTCGGCCCAATTTGGTGGCTGAACCTCTGAATCCGAATCAGATCAGGGGACCAATTCCAAATCTTTGGAAAAGATTCAGAGAGCTTTGATGATTCGGGCAGTCCCCAGTGGCTGCACCAGGGAGCTGCAGCAGACTCTGAGATGGTAAGTACGAGGGGCAGGAGAAGTGGGGTTGAGGGAGTAGGGAGGGGACAATGGGGGGACCCCTGCCAGCCCCTCCCGAACCCCCCCACTCCCTCCAGCCCTCCCCCCCATGGCTG